CCTATTTTTCGTATCATCTGAGATCCCCAGAGATTGGAAAGCTGCCGCGGTCATCCCCCTCTTTAAAAGGGGGTGACACTCTAGATCCAAACTGTTACAGACCTATATCCATCCTGCCCTGCCCTTCGAAAGTATTTGAAAGCCAAGTTAACAAACAGATCACTGACCATTTCGAATCCCACCGTACCTTCTCCGCTATGCAATCTGGTTTCCGAGCTGGTCATGGGTGCACACGCTCAAGGTCCTAAACGATATTATAACAGCGATCGATAAAAGACAGTACTGTGCAGCCGTCTTCATCGACCTGGCCAAGGCTTTCGACTCTGTCAATCACCGCATTCTTATTGGCAGACTAAATAGCCTTGGTTTCTCAAATAACTGCCTCGCCTGGTTCACCAACTACTTCTCAGATAGAGTTCAATGTGTCAAATCGGAGGGCCTGTTGTCTGGACCTCTGGCAGTCTCTATGGGGGTGCCACAGGGTTAAATTCTCGGGCCGACTCTATTCTCTGTGTATATCAATGATGTCGCTCTTGCTGCTGGTGACTCTCAGATCCACCTCTATGCAGACAACACCATTTTGTATACATCTGGCCCTTCATTGGACACTGTGTTAACAAACCTCCAAACGAGCTTCAATGCCATACAACACTCCTTCCGTAGCCTCCAACTGCTCTTAAACACTAGTAAAACTAAATGCATGCTCTTCAATCGAACGCTGCTTGCACCCGCCCGCCCGACTAGAATCACTACTCTCGGCGGGTCTGACTTAGAATTTGTGGACAACTACAAATACCTAGGTGTCTGGTTAGACCGTAAACTCTCCTTCCAGACTCATATTAAGCATCTCCAATCCAAAGTTAAATCTAGAATCGGCTTCCTATTTCGCAACAAAGCCTCCTTCACTCATGCTGCCAAACATCCCCTCGTAAAACTGACTATCCTACCGATCCTTGACTTCGGCGATGTCATTTACAAAATAGCCTCCAACACTCTACTCAGCAAATTGGATGTAGTCTATCACAGTGCCATCCGTTTTGTCACCAAAGCCCCATATACTACCCACCATTGTGACCTGTACGCTCTCGTTGGCTGGCCCTCACTACATATTCGTCGCCAAACCCACTGGCTCCAGGTCATCTATAAATCACTGCTAGGCAAATCCCCACCTTATCTTAGCTCATTGGTCACCATAGCAACACCCACCCGTAGTATGCGCTCCAGCAGGTATATCTCACGGGTCATCCCCAAAGCCAACACCTCCTTTGGCCGCCACTCCTTCCAGTTCTCTGCTGCTAATGACTGGAACAAACTGCAAAAATCTCTGAAGCTGGAGACACTTACTGTATCTCCCTCACTAACTTTAAGCATCAGTTGTCAGAGCAGCTTACCGATCACTGCACCTGTACACAGCCCATCTGTAATTAGCCCATCCAACTACCTCATCCCCATATTGTTATTTATTTTGCTCATTTGCACCCCAGTATCTCTATTTGAATATCATCTTCTGCACATCTATCACTCCAATGTTAATACGAAATTGTAACTATTTTGCACTATGGCCTATTTATTGCCTTACCTCCATAACTTACTACATTTGCACATTTTCTATTGTGTTATTGACTGTATGTTTTTGTTTATCCCATGTGTAACTCTGTGTTGTTGTTGTTTTTAATCGCACTGCCTTGCTTTATCTTGGCCAGGTCGCAGTTGTAAATGAGAACTGGCCAACCTGGTTAAATAAAAGTGAAAAAAAAAAAAAAAAAAAAATTGTTGTGTTAGTAGTAGTAGTGGTAGTTAATGCAATAGTAGTGGTCTTACAAGTGACTGTGGTCAATTCTAGCATAAAGCTTTATTGAAGAAATCTAAGTCGAGTCTGTATGCCTTGGACCAGAGCTAGTGGTATGACAAACTTCACTGGTCCTCTGTAGCTCAGCTGGTAGAGCACGGCGCTTGTAACGCCAAGGTAGTGGGTTCGAACCCCGGGACCACCCATACACAAAAAAAAGTATGCACGCATGACTGTAAGTCGCTTTGGATAAAAGTGTCTGCTAAATGGCATATTATTATTATTATTATAGTGCAGACCAGAGCTAGACCAATGCTAGGCCCTGGACCAGAGCTAGTGCAGACCAGAGCTAGACCAATGCTAGGCCCTGGACCAGAGCTAATGCGGACCAGAGTTAGTTAGTGTGGACCAGAGCTAGTGCGGACCAGAGAGAGTTAGTGCGGACCAGAGCTAGACCAATGCTAGTATGGACCAGAGCTAGCTAGCTACACCCTGGACCAGAGTTGGCCCAGAGCTTGTTAGTGCGGACCAGAGCTAAACCACCACTAATAGGGACCAGAGGTAGCTAGCAACTATTTACACCCTGGACCAGAGCTAGTTAGTGCAGACCAGAGCTAGTGCGGACCAGAGCTAGCTAGCTACTAGCTATGCCCAGGACCAGAGCTGGACCAGGGCTAGTGCAGACCAGAGCAGTAGTTGTGGTCAGGAGCTGTGGTCAGTGGTTGTGTTCAGTAAGTGTGGTCAGTAGTTGTGTGGTTGTGGTCAGTAGTTGTGTGGTTGTGGTCAGATGTGTGGTTCAGTCGTTGTTGTGGTCAGTAGGTGTGGTCTGTAGTGATGGTCAGTAGTTGTGTGGTCAGTAGTTGTGTGGTTGTCATCAGTTGTTGTGGTCAGTAATTTTGGTCAGTAATTGTTTGGTTGAGGTCAGTAGTTGTGTGGTTGTGGTCAGTAGTTATGTGGTTGTGGTCAACGTTGTTTGGATAGTTTAAACGGTGAAAGGTCTAGATTATTATTTATTTTTAACCATTCAATCTAAGTTAGGTCAGTTTGTACTTTTTAAAGTTGGTTTCAGGTTTCATTATTTTAGCTCTAGATCGGGCTAAATAAATCAAATAATAATAATGAGTATGTAAGAAATCTACAGTTGTGCATTGCCTTCAGCAAGCACACCTAATGAAGAATTACCTCAATATGTTGTTGAGAACTGCGTCACATGGTGTGGAGCTTGATTGCGAGTCATCATAGTCAAAGCTGGCACATACCAGCTCAGTGAAGTTTGTCAAGTGGTCTCTAACATAGCCCCTGATATCTACAAATTAATTTAGCTTAAGGTTTTCTTCCTTACGAAGGCTCAAGTTAATAAGCCACAGTGCCTTTGCCTCATTGACCTTAGCGCAGTCTAGGAAACGTATAACCGCATTGATTTTGTTATCCCTCGTGAACAAATCTCGAATTTGGGGATACATTTTGGCAAGAACATGAATTCCAGCCAAAATGGAGTCTAGAATACAAGTATTGTTGAACTGGTATGCACCATAGCTTCCCCCAGCCAACAGGTAACTCAAGTTAATCATATCATCAGTGCTGGAAAATGTAGAAACACAGAAATATACATTGGTTTGAATCCATTCTGTTTTGCATACAATAGCAGATTTTTTGACAGTGACATAATCTGATTAATCAGATAGTTGATAGAAATAAGGACATTTGGAATGACATTCCAAATCATGCCAACTGTGTAGCACTATGATTGTTTTATCTATTCCATACCTAGTGGGTCCTGCCAACTGCCCAGCTGTAATACAAATGTGAAGTTTATACAAAAGGAAAGAGTGATGCTTTTAAAGTTATAATGTAAAAAAAAGGCCTACCTTCCGCAATTAAACGTTCAAGTATCCTCTGAAGACCTATCCAGTCAGGATGGGGCTGTTGTCGAAATAAAGCACACGTTCATGGCTGAGTCATAATGGCGGATATCATATCCAACGCAAAGTAGACTCCAATTGAAACTGTCCTAAACTTTAACGTGTTAATGCTTAACCACAATTCAGTGGTAATCCCAAAATGTGCAAGACAGTCAAAACTCTGCAAGTGTTGAAACTTAAATTTGCTTACAAATCCTGTGGTTCTATGTTGAAATAATGTAATGCCAGTGTTTCAAAAATGGGCTTCAATCATCATCATCTGCTATATGACGGAACATCCGAAATCTAGCCTAAAGCAAATGTGAAAATTACTAATGAACATAAATGAGTACATTAACAATAGACATAATAGCATACCCTCTTTGTGGTACATCCATCGTTGAATGAAAATCAACAGAAAGTGTTGTCACCGCTTGAACACCTGCAATCACACATGTACAGCTCATGAACAAATTTACATTCCTGTTAAGAGGACTGTGAGATAAAGCGTTCCATCTTTCTAAATCAAATCAAACAAATTCAAATAAAAGGATTTATATTTTGACAATTTATTCATTTGAAGTGAGTCATGTCGTCACGTGGTTTAGACTACAGAAGTTGCAAGACAATTTAGATGAGGTTGCAGAGAATCTATGAGATTGATGTGTGTTTATGTTTTAATGGAAATGAAGTGAAACCTTGCTTGATGGAGCAATGTGTGTCTCATATGAACACACCACATGGCCTTCTAATGGATAATACTGGACAGTGTAAAACAGAGATAAAATATAGCTACAGTAACAGTATGTACCAGTAATAGAACAGTATCTCACTGTAACAAGCACCCTGGTCTTACACTGACCCATGCCACCTTGGGATACAGGGCACTGGACAGCAGTCTTTTCGTTAGGGTCCTCCACAACAGGATTCCTCCATGTGGGACTACAGGTGTCTGTGGCCCTGGCCTGGACAGATGAGGGTAACAAAAACAGGCCAACCGTTAGAGCACAATAATCTACCCCATTAGCAGCAGATTTGCCTGGCATAAACATCAGTTTCCAGATCATACATGCCACAACATGATAATTTGATAACTGGGCTACGACATGCAACAGGTCAGGTTTCTGCTGTGCTGTCATGCAATGCAAGCCATTGTACATAGATTTTAGATAAAGATGTGTCTAGTTCTTTGGCCATAAGGTGGCATGCAAGTACCTACCCGGAACTTGCCGGAAGATAAATAAACCATAATTTGCAGCAAAGCCAGCAAGAGCCTTTTAGCTGCCTCACGGCACCATTACCGACTGAAGATGGCGGCGTCAGGAACCGCAGCCCCCAGTTGCCTTGTCCAGTATGTTGTGGTCCGGTCAGATTTGGTCCATACGTTGTCCTGGCCATTGGGAGCTGTTATATCGCAAGCCTGCCATGCTGCCACCGCCGCCATTCATCTTAACTACAACGATCCAGACACGCAGGAGTACTTGGCAGAACTGGATAGCATGCACAAAGTGGTGCTTCAGGTAGCTGGGACTGTGTTACTGTATTAGTTAGCAAGTTTATCAACATTATACTTCTAATAGTGAACTAAATCGACATGCCAATCTTTTCCGTAGTGCGCAAAACAAGTTTCCTATTGACTGCACATGCGCACAGTTGGCTCATATCAAACTGCATAAAAGTAGCCTCTCAATACAAAATATTTTGTACGTTTCTTTATGTAATGTAAATATAGTAGGATGGAAGTTATGCAGTGGTATGAGATGTAGAGAAAACTAATGCTTGTGATGGGATTCTCCCTCTTCATCCGTGTTTGTCAGGCTCCGGACCAGGCCTCCCTGTCCAGCCTGTCTGAGACGCTGACAGAGAAGGGGGTTGCTCACAAGCTGTGGATCGAACAGCCAGAGAACTTCCCCACCTGCCTGGCACTGAAGCCTTACCCTAAAGACACTGTACATCCTCTGCTGCGCAAGTTTAAACTGTTCAAATGACACAGAGGGACCCCTGTAACATGCATGTGGTGAATGGAGCCTGGACCATGGCTCCACACCAGTTAAGATGGTATTTTTGGGGTTGACCTGTGCATCTCGGTGATGCTGAAGGGGGATGAACCTTCATTCAGTGTCTGTGCTCCAGATTCACAAGGAATAATCTCACTCTGATAAACACAGTGTCAGTTATCTGTCCTACAGTAACAGGGAGACATCACTCACTGAATCATGCCATAAAATGGCAATTTAAAGAGTGGATGTCTGTCCATGTAATTTGATGTGGCCACATATCTTGTGATTCAATGAAAGGGGGACTTGGTGACAGGTTATGTAAGGTCTTTCTCTAGCTGCTGGCGAGTGGAATCTGTTTACAAACATAGTAGATGCAATAAAACATGATTTTAATTACTCTGTGTATTGTATTATTAGTCACATATGACAATACACAGAATATGCTCCTTACAATAAATTGAGGTTAAAGGAGATAATGTAGCTGGTGGCAATGTAGTGACAATGAAATTAAGAGTAAAGTATATAGTAATAAAAGACAGAATCAATCAACATTACATATCCTGTTTTAAATGGTGCTTTTATTGCAATGTGTTGCATTCTCACATTCATGGATGTTATAGATTTGTTAGTCAAAGCATCATTTCCTTCAAGGTCAGCATCTTCACCTTGGAAAAGCAACAGAGGGACCGAACGCACGAGGTGTTTGTGTATGTGTAGAAGTGTGTAAACGTTGAACTAATCCCAGTCTGAGCAGCCACATACCTCCCAAAAAATGGACAGACAAGTAAGACTGTTTCAGTAGATGCAAAAACAGTTTGTTTTTCAGCCTACAGGGGGAACCCCCTGTAGGTACTGGACCCAGCCTGAGACTGATTGTTTACGATGTCCTAAGAAAAGGTAGGATTTATCCCAGGTATTACACCTGGACACAGAAATAAAAACATGCATAATTCTTCCAGATACTTCATTCATATTGTCCTACACAGCTGCTCCAATCCTCTCTAAAAACAAGTTTACACAAGTATAATAAACAAAACTGGACAAAATGTGTAAAATGTATAATATATATATATATATATATATATATATATTTATTTATATTAATTTTACAGGGGAAAAAGTGGAACCTTGTTTCAATGAGAAATCATTGCCCTTACAAGTGGCGAGATACAAACTTTTGACTTCTCCAACCACAACCAACTTCAGTCTCGATAAGGCAGCACTTACAATAATTGACAAACATCATCAGCAAACAGTTGCTTCAATAATCTAACAGTTGAGAGGTAATACCTGTGTAGGGTAGAGTGCAGTACTCTTAACTATCTAAGGATGTTACTTCTGTATTAGACAGTATGTGACAAGGAGGTGAAGAAATGCGAAAGGGATAGCAGTAAACGTATGTAGGGCTGTTACTGCTTGGTAGGAATTACTAAGCCTAGAAACATAACAATTATTTCAGGGAGCATAGCTGAGGGGGGAATGTTTTGAACAGTTAAAGCTGCTGCAAGACAAGACGTATGAGTGTAAGCGCGTTAGTTAGCTGATGGCCGAGGGAAGGGGCAGTGGATCACCTGAAGAAGATAGGCATAGTTTAGATACAGTATCTGTGGCAGAGAGAACTGAAACTACATAGATTAGTAGTAGAGAATGTACACTTCTCTTTTGTCATCATATTGATGGGCTATACAACCAAGTTCTTTGTTTTTAAGAACCTGAGAAATTACTAGGATTACTAAAGAAAAGTAAAATCAATATTTTACTTTCTATTACATTTAGGGGATTTCTTTTTTTCGTCATAATCGTAATTATGAAATAGTAATCTGATTTGAACATGAGCAGTATTCATGATGGCCTGTTTCCTCTTAATAATTCTGATATAAAGTGCAAAACTAGATTGTATTGCTTGCAAATTCCTGGAATATTTAGATATTTAGTAAAAAAGTCATGTAAAATACAGCAAACTTGTTTTTATAAAGGTAAAGATAAGAAAATCCTCATTAACAAGAACATTATCATCAAACAGCAAGGATCAGTCCTCTATGCAGAAAATATATACAAGAGGCACCTCAAATTTGGTATAAAGTATTCAGCTAAATACATTTTAATATTTTTATGAGATTCAGTTGATTGATCAGACCCACAAGTTCAGACAATTATCAACAACATTAGTTTAAGTAAAAAAAACGAAAGTAAGTTAGGTAGTTATTTTCTTCTCTTCAAGAAACTAATTACTGAAAATACCATGATTTTAATAATTGATTCAGATTCTAGTGTGGCTTTGAATACTTAAATCAGTGTGAAAGAAATGCTTTTCGCTAAGGTGCATAGCTAGCTGTTGCAACGTTCTCTCTTCCTGTAAACAGTGACAGCACGTCAGGCCCTACATTACTTTTTGCATCTTTGCTAGGAGTCAATGTCAACAGGGAGAAAACGTTTCTAACTGATCATACTTTGGGAAATTCCAAAGAATACAAGTTACATAAAAATACTATAGCTCTTAGGCCAAATCGTGTCGAAAAGGAAATAAAGGACAAACATGCAAAGCACAAACTATCACAAATTAGTACTGTGGTCAAAGAGGAGCTAGTATGTATAGGTATGAGACTATTCCCTTTTAGAAAAGTGAACAAACGCTACATTTTGTCTCAATCAATTGCATGAGGCTTGCATATGATATGAATTAAACATCTTGAAGCTTTGGTCATTACTTCTGAAAATGCAAAAACTACAATGAGACGATCTACAAAAGCCCACTTAACTACCGAAGCAATTCTTCTCAGAATCCAAGGTTCCACTTTCTCAGATCTGTTTAAACTTTTTGATAACAGATAAATTAAATAATATGGCCTTTTTAAATTAACCCGTACAAAAGCCAATCCACGCTGCTTCTCTCAGTAAAATCACATTCAGCAGTCGCTAAACCATTCTCTCACATAAAGAGCAATCTGAATAACACCCACAGGAAAACTTGCAGGTATCTAAAACGAAGGATAAATCAAATCCGGACATTATCGGTTTCCATCTTAAACACCAGATACACAGTATTAAATCACATACATACACACACTCAGACAGTCATATACATAAAACAAAACAAAAAAATAAATGGAAGCGAGTAGTTAATACCACAAACTTGGAGCACTACATTTTGTTGATTCTGAACAAATACATATTCACATTGTCTGTTATATACATGTTAACATGTTGAAGAACCAGTTCAAATATTTACCTTGTACCTGTACTGAATGGACTGTCTTTGCCATTGAGCGGCTCTTGCTTAAAATAATATCTGTTTGTTAATGAGCATCGTCTAATGGTGCTTTGAATTTGGCATATTATATCCCAAATGATAAACAGTTGATATTAACAGATCAGATTAACATCTACATTTGATGTAGTTCTATTACCACTATTTATACAGGAATGTGAAGAAGATGAAAGGGACATGTATCCTTTGTAATACTTCTGTGAGTGTGAAACCTTTAGCTTGTACCCCATATAGTACAAATGTATACTGAAAACAAATGAAATCCTTCCACAAACATTCTGTTCATTTGTGTTTCTTCCGTTTGTTTTGTAAAGTGTATGTTTATTTACATAAACCAAACAGTGGCTCAGGAATGGTTTTAACCTTGATAAATACTAACTGTTAGCCAACGGCCCTTTCAAATAGAAAATAAAAATGTAACATTATCAGAAGAGAAAGAAACTGAAATACGTCATCTAATTATATATGCAATAGGGTAAAAGCAAAGCAACATTTGACGTGTCTTAAAATACACAGGAACAATTGGTATGTAAAATCAAGGTTTATCTGTTTCACAAATGTTTTTTTTTCTGTAAAAGTATCCAAATTGTAAATTGCTGCCAGCTTTTCATGTCAACTGGAATCGACACACGAAATGATGCCATTTTCAGGTTGAGTTGTATGGTGAGGATGCCTGAGCCACTGTTTGGGTACAGTATAAAGCACACGCACAGACGCCATTGAAACTGTACACAAAGTGATTCACAAATCATAGAACATTGGCGTTCAGTTTGAGTTGGTGTTCAGTTTGAGGTCTCAGAAGGAGGATGGTGATCATGCATGCTATTTCAACTGATCATCCCTAACCCTCCTCGGTTATTAGGTGTGCTCGGTAATGTTGCACACTTTGTGAAATACCTTGTATATACACAGCAGTGAGACATCTAGTTGGATCATAACAGTTATCCTTTAGAAAGCCTTGTTAGTCAGAAATACAGATACCCGGGATAGAGCAGAAAAGCCAAAAGCCAAAGTAGACTTGATTTTTAATTATCATTACAACGTCGCAAAACTTTTCTTTTGTCTCTTTAATTATGGTTATTGCTTGTTAATAGGTTCTTGTTTGTTTACCCCCATAAAAACATTGTGTTTGTTGGCAGGACTTTATGTGAACGAATATGTATAGTAAATATCAACAGAGGTTAGCGCTGATAGACAGTGTCTGACTGGGCAACAGTAGTCACATGAGCAGTCAAAAAGAGCTGTAGTGTGCGGCCAGTGGAGTGACATCATCACGGGCAGAGTTGGAGGAGAGAGAGAACTGTGTTTCCAAGACAACACCCCATTCAACATCCATCACTTCTTAGTGAGGAAATACTACGGTTACAAGTTACAACATATTCATGTCATTGTGTAATATTGATAACCCACTCTTGTTTTTTTTTAGGTTAATTTAAGGATATTGAAACATTCAATGGGATGCCAAAAGAGCAGAGCTAGCCATTTCTAAATAAATCGCAAAAATTCTTATACCAAGATTTTCTTTTTTCACAATTACAGAACACAGAGCCAGTTTCCCCACAACAACAACATTTAGCAGTGTTACATTTTCAGAATGCCAAACATCGCCTTAAAAAATGATAACTGACATATTAGACTCTCCAATTTTGTAAAAAGGGGGGGGAAAAACCTGCAATGAATCACAATGTGTAGTTTGAGCTCAAAATGACAGTTGCTTTTTAGAGTAATTAAATTACGCTTTGAAAGGAAAGTAGATGGTGTGAACACATCTCATCTTTGCTGGACAATATTACCCAGCTGCACGGTTCTACATGGCAAAAAAAACACTGATCGGCCAAAGAGAGCCCAATGTGGCTCGTATTCACAGCTGCTGGGGAGAAAAATTTGTAGGACAGGCAGTTAGTTTGACAGTCTGGTAGTTTGAAAATGCCCTCCCAGGAAAGACAGTGTTGCCAACTGAGCAGAGCAGTCTCCCATCCTGGCCGTGATGCTTGTTGTCCTGACGACACAGACGACGAGAACAGAGAAACAAAAACGAGAGCTGGGAATTTCCTCCCATCAGGCACTGCAGTGGAGAGAGCCAGTCAGTCACAGATCCAGCTGAAACTGAGCTTCCCATTGCAGAGGTTAAAAACCGAACATTCCCAAAACGTTGTCCCCACAACGTCTCCCCACCCGCCCCGCGCGAGGCAAAAAGGCGAGACGATGGGTTAACCACCCAAAGCTGAGCTCAGCTGCACGCTGCTCGCACTCCCAAAACGCACTGCTGCGACGGCCTGATGGAACGGGCCAATCAAGAACCAGGTCATGTTTTGACGACCGCGACGACTTTGCAAAACCGGAACCTGATTCCTTTCTCAGCACAGGAAGCAGACTTTGTGTTGAAAGTAGGTAACCAGGAATGAGTGCTGAACAATCGTTGCGGTCTTACGGTACGGGCTGAGGCTGTCAGGCAGGTAGACAGACACGCTGTTACCTGGACCTCAGTCTCCCTCCTAGGGCCCTCCTAACCAGTCCGGCAGGTAGCTGTCTAAAACCAAAGGTGAAAAAGAAAAGAGGTTGGTGGTCTGCGGAGAACCTTTCCCCTGGCAGGCGGCTGAGCTGAGGAGTCACTCTGTGAGGAGCTGCTGGAGGAGGCTCTTCTGCTGGGACTGGCTGCTCTGAGGCCCCTGGGGGCTCTTCTGGGGGCCTATGGACCCCGACTGGTTCAGGTAGGAGTCGCTGCCCACCAGGTTCACCGTACACTGGACGTCGGCAAACACTTGAACCTGCTGTACCTGATGAGGAGAGGAGGGAAAGAGGAAGACATCAGTGGATGAAGGAGGGAGGAGAATAGAAGGAAATGAAAGCGAAAGGAGGAGGGCCTTAGTGAAATGGTTCACCACATCAGTTTTGGTCAAAGGGCAGCTTAGATGGTCTGTTACTGCTTTTCTACTCGACTTCCTCTAAGTTGAGGCGGCTGACTTTAGGTGTGGCACCCTCACCTGATCGTTACACATGGAGCTGACGTTGCCAAGGTTACTGTTGCCCAGGCCAACGGGTGGTCCCATGGGAGGTAGCGAGCCCACCCCCCCTGAGCCTCCTGCCATTGACACGGTGATACTCATGTTGTTGTAGACCCCCTGTTGCCCAAAGGCCTGGGGCGTCGTCTGACCAGACTGGCTGAATAAGCTGACACACAGACAGAACACAAAGTCATGGTACCAGTGGTTTTATGTACACTCCTCTTTCAGCTGCTATCTCTGGTCATTATACAGTGGGGAAAAAAAGTATTTAGTCAGCCACCAATTGTGCAAGTTCTCCCACTTAAAAAGATGAGAGAGGCCTGTAATTTTCATCATAGGTACACGTCAACTATGACAGACAAAATGACGGGGAAAAAATCCAGAAAATCACATTGTAGGATTTTTTATGAATTTATTTGCAAATTATGGTGGAAAATAAGTATTTGGTCAATAACAAAAGTTTCTCAATACTTTGTTATATACCCTTTGTTGGCAATGACACAGGTCAAACGTTTTCTGTAAGTCTTCACAAGGTTTTCACACACTGTTGCTGGTATTGTGGCCCATTCCTCCATGCAGATCTCCTCAGTGATGTTTTCGGGCTGTCGCTGGGCAACACGGACTTTCAACTCCCTCCAAAGATTTTCTATGGGGTTGAGATCTGGAGACAGGCTAGGCCACTCCAGGACCTTGAAATGCTTCTTACGAAGCCACTCCTTCGTTGCCCGGGTGTGTTTGGGATCATTGTCATGCTGAAAGACCCAGCCACGTTTCATCTTCAATGCCCTTGCTGATGGAAGGAGGTTTTCACTCAAAATCTCACGATACATGGCCCCATTCATTCTTTCCTTTACACGGATCAGTCGTCCTGGTCCCTTTGCAGAAAAACAGCCCCAAAGCATGATGTTTCCACCCCCATGCTTTACAGTAGGTATGGTGTTCTTTGGATGCAACTCAGCATTCTTTGTCCTCCAAACACGACGAGTTGAGTTTTTACCAAAAAGTTCTATTTTGGTTTCATCTGACCATATGACATTCTCCCAATCCTCTTCTGGATCATCCAAATGCACTCTAGCAAACTTCAGACGGGCCTGGACATGTACTGGCTTAAGCAGGGGGACACGTCTGGCACTGCAGGATTTGAGTCCCTGGCGGCGTAGTGTGTTACTGATGGTAGGTTTTGTTACTTTGGTCCCAGCTCTCTGCAGGTCATTCACTAGGTCCCCCCGTGTGGTTCTGGGATTTTTGCTCACCGTTCTTGTGATCATTTTGACCCCACGGGGTGAGATCTTGCGTGGAGCCCCAGATCGAGGGAGATTATCAGTGGTCTTGTATGTCTTCCATTTCCTAATAATTGCTCCCACAGCTGATTTCTTCAAACCAAGCTGCTTACCTATTGCAGATTCAGTCTTCCCAGCCTGGTGCAGGTCTACAATTTTGTTTCTGGTGTCCTTTGACAGCTCTTTGGTCTTGGCCATAGTGGAGTTTGGAGTGTGACTGTTTGAGGTTGTGGACAGGTGTCTTTTATACTGATAACAAGTTCAAACAGGTGCCATTAATACAGGTAACGAGTGGAGGACAGAGGAGCCTCTTAAAGAAGAAGTTACAGGTCTGTGAGAGCCAGAAATCTTGCTTGTTTGTAGGTGACCAAATACTTATTTTCCACCATAATTTGCAAATAAATTCATTAAAAATCCTACAATGTGATTTTCTGGGGAAAAAATGCTCAATTTGTCTGTCATAGTTGACGTGTACCTATGATGAAAATTACAGGCCTCTCTCATCTTTTTAAGTGGGAGAACTTGCACAATTGGTGGCTGACTAAATACTTTTTTCCCCCACTGTAACTACCAAGACAATATATAGAATAAATATATAGACTTCAAATAATTAAACACATCTGGTATAATGTTACATAAGTGCTTGTTAGAAATAATTATCTAAGTAACAAACAGTTAATTATTATATAATAACCATCTGACCATGTCATTTCTATGTAGATGCTAAGTCAACAACGGGCTATGCAATTTACACGTTTACACAGGCATGGCTCTGGCCACCTCACCTGTTGCTGCCCATGCCAGCTTGCTGCCAACTCTTCATGTCAGGTGACTGGTACCCAGGAGGAGGCTGGGCCAGCTGGAGCAGAGGACTCTGGGAGGTGGAGTTCTGAGGGGACAGCAGGGGGCTGGTGGGGCTGAGCTCTGGAGGGAACGAGGGGTCTCCTTGCTGGACCATACCTTTGAGGAAAAGGACAGAGAGATAGTGTTAGAACATTCTAGAGTCTAAACCATTTTCATATTGATATTTGCCAGCAGCACTGTATTCCATTTTCTATGGATCCTGTCTGCATCACATTTTGATATTGACAATGTCAGCACATTATATGTTATTTTGATATCAATATTAACAGCACATTGTACTGACAATTTCTGATGTTATAGAGACAGAACCACCAACCAGACATAATCTAGCAGTGATTATGGTGGAAACCTAGGTAGCCTAGTCACTCACCTGGTCCTCCAAACTGCTGGAAGAGCCCAGCCTGGACCGCCGAGTTCACTCCCCCCCCAAACTGTCCCTGTATCCCCCCCATCATGGCTGCCTGGCTGCCCAAGGGGGCCAGGCCCGACAGCTTGGGGTCCAGGGGCCCTCCCATGGGGTTGAATAGGCAGGGGGTGCTGGGTGGGTTTCCTGACATGGGGCTGTAGCCTGGAGGGTAGCTAAACTGTTGTTGCTGTGGCTGGGGTCCTTTTTGTCCCCTGGTGGCCCCAATAGGCCCCCCGGTCCCCATGCCCTGCCTCATCAACATGACCTTCTGCTGCAGGAGCTGCCTCTGGCGGTGCTGGAAACTGTAGAGCTCCCGCTGCCTCTGGGCGAGCATCTGGGCGTTCAGAGGAGGCTGGAGAGAGACAGAGAGGATAGGGGACTTATAGGAGACACTTTCTGTCCGCAAAACAGCCCTCACAACGTGCATGCATAGTTTCCCAAATGACCTATACCATTTGAAATAGACTGGAAGATACTTAACTCAGAGAGAGGGAGAGGGGTGGACGGAGAAGAGTACAGGGCACTTGGTTTTCTTACCAGTAACTCAGTACAACTAGCTACGATGCTTAGGACTTACTCAATACACACCATTCCGAAAGAGAGATAGAAATAGAGTAAGAGAAAAAGGATTGGAGACAGAGAAAAACAATTACGAGACCAAGAGAGAAGGAAGAGTGAGGACAGGATTGATGGTGATCGTGAGTTCCCCAGAAACACTCACCTGAGAGGGCATCTGAGGCTGCTGCACTCCCTGACGCATCCCCATGGCAATGTGAGCTCCCCCTGGGAACTGGCTCATGGCAGCCAGCCTGTTCTGCAGCTGGCAGAGAGAGAGAGCGAGAGGGGAGTGAGTCACACGACTGATAGAGGAGAGGAGGGAGAAACAATAGAGGGTGGAGAGGAGGAACGGAGCGGACTCAGCGAAGAAATTATAGAGACGAGAGAGGAGTGAGTCATAGTGAGAGCAGATAGAAAGAAAATAAAAGCTTGAGATAGAAAAAGAGACTGATGAGTGAAAAGTGTGAGAGAAAAAAAGCACATGAGAAGAGAACTGATAGATAAAGAGAAGTGTGTTAAACACTGATAAAGAGGACCAGGAATGAGAACAAAGGAGTTCTGCTGAATTCCATATTCTTAATATCCTTTACTTTGCCATGAGGTCTTTTAAATCAACATGAGCAGCTAGCAGAAGAAGCACTAAAGTCAGAATAATAATATGCAGAGACCGCTGTGTGGGAACCATGAGTAAGAGCAGCATGTGTGAGTGGAGCATGAAGGAGAGAGACCTTGAGGGGGGAAAAAAAGGGGAGAGATGTGAGCCACGTTTGTGTGGGAGCCTCTCTCTCTCTCTCAGCAAAAAGGATAATAAACAATCAGTCATAGTGAATATACAGTACATACAGTCCAGTACTCCCCTACCATAGATGGGCTTGTAGCAGACATTTAGTTCCCATGTGTTTGTTCTGCTGTACCATAATGGAGCATAGGAGGCTCTCTTCTTCACATGACCACCCATTTCACCACGCTAGCTAGCTCTACTTAGCCACACAACACAATGGCACATTAACACAATGCAGGGCTGCCCGGTTGGCCAGGAGGGAGATTTACTATTGCCAAGCCAGTGTTTAACGAGCGCTGGCTCTGACTAGGATTAAAAGGCAACACTGCGTGATACAGGCTTCATTAACGTAAACAAGGCCTGTTAAAACTCACCCCCCCCCCCCCCCTGTGTAGAGAGGAGGGAATCAACTACGCCCACGTTAGAAAGACGGACCAGGGGAGTGGGCCAGCCTGGGTAGGTAACTCTGTTCCTCTTGAGCAGCGGTGTCCTGGTTTAATCTATACTTAACAAAAATATAAACGCAACATGTAAAGTGTTGCTCCCATGTTTCATGAGCTGAAATAAAAGATCCCAGAAATGTTCCATATGCACAAAAAGCTTATATCTCTATAATTCTGTGCAGAAATGTGTTTACATCCCTGTTAGTGAGCATTTCTCCTTTGCCAAGATAATCCATCCAACTGACAGGGGTTGCATATCAAGAAGCTGATTAAACAGCATGATCATTACACAGGTGCACCTTGTGCTGGGGACAATGAATGGCCACTCTAAAACGTGCAGTTTTGTCACACAACACAATGCCACAGACGTCTCAAGTTTTGAGGGAGCATGCAATTGGCATGCTGACTGCAGGAATGTCCACCAGAGCTGTTGCCAGATAATTTAATGTTCATATCTCTACCATAAGCTGCCTCAAACGTTGTTTTAGAGAATTTGGCAGTACGTATAACCGGCCTCACAACCGCAGACCACGTGTAACCACGCCAGCCCAGGACATCCATATCCGGCTTCTTCACCTGCGGGATCATCTGAGAACAGCCACCCGGACAGCCGATGAAACTGAGGAGTATTTCTGTCTGTAATAAAGCCCTTTTGTGGGGAAAAACACATTCTGATTGGCTGGGCCTGGCTCCCAAGTGGGTGGGCCTATGCCCTCCCAGGCCCACCCATGGCTGCGCCCCTGCCCAGTCATGTGAAATCCATAGATTAGGGCCTAATGAATTAATTTCAATTGACTGATTTCCTTACATGAACTGTAACTCAGTAAAATCGTTGAAATTGTTGCATTTATATTTTTGTTCAGTATAGTTTAATCTGGTGTGTTAGTGCTGCAACCCCTAATGTACCCGCTCTGTCCAGCACATCCTACCTGCTGTGGGCCCTGCAGCCTCTGTTGCAGCTGTAACCTAAGCTGGTTGGGTGGCAGTCGGAGCTGATTGGCCATGCCAGGCGCTCTGCCCATGCCAGGCCTCAGCGTCATGCCCCCAGGGAAGGTCCCCCTGGGTGCCCCGAAGCCCCCCAAACCCTGCCCCCCTGCCATATCTGGAGGGAACTGGGCAGGGGGGCCGGTGCTGAACTGAGAGGGGTAGCTGGGCAGCTTGGGGTCCATGGAGATGGGGGTGGCGGCAGGGGGCTGGGAGGGAAACCGTTGAGGGATGGGGTCGAAGCAGCCGCCCTAGGGAGAGGAATGGACAGGTCAATACTGGGTTAATTACAGTCCAACAAACTCCCCAGGACCAAATGAATCATTACGTCAAGCATGTATCGATGATTGCAGTACTGTACTGATAGAAAAAAAATAGATTCTGTGGTGCTTTGGACAGGAATTTAAATTCACTCTATATTTAGCGCTCTCAGCTCTGTAGTGTAGTATGGAGGGCTCTCCCTCGCCCTACATTTGGGAAATCTGACCATAATTATATCCTCCTGATTCCTGCTTTCAAGCAAAAACTAAAGCAGGAAGCACCAGTGACTCGGTCAATAAAGAAGTGGTCAGATGACGCAGACGCTAAGCTACAGGACTGTTTTGCTAGCACAGACTGGAATATATTCCGGGATTCTTCCGATGGCATTGAGGAGTACACCACATCAGTCACTGGCTTCATCAATAAGTACATCGATGATGTCGTCCCCACAGTGACAGTACGTACATACCCCAACCAGAAGCCATGGATTACAGGCAACATCTGCACTGAGCTAAAGGGTAGAGCTGCCGCTTTCAAGGAGCGGGACTCTAACCCGGACGCTAATAAGAAATCCCGCTATGCCCTCCGACGACCCATCAAACAGGCAAAGCGTCAATACAGGACTAAGATTGAATCGTACTATACCGGCTCCGACGCTCGTCGGATGTGGCAGGGTTTGCAAACTATTACAGACTACAAAGGGAAGCACAGCCGCGAGCTGCCCAGTGACACGAGCCTACCAGACGAGCTAAATTACTTCTATGCTCGCTTCGAGGCAAGCAGCACTGAAGCATGCATGAGAGCATCAGCTGTTCCGGACGACTGTGTGATCACGCTCTCCATGGCCATTGTGAGTAAGACCTTTAAACAGGTCAACATTCACAAGGCTGCAGGGCCAGCCGGATTACCAGAACGTGTACTCCGAGCATGCGCTGACCAACTTGCAAATGTCTTCACTGATATTTTCAACCTGTCCCTGACAGAGTCTGTAATACCAACATGTTTCAAGCAGACTACCATAGTCCCTGTGCCCAAGAACACTAAGGTAACCTGCCTAAATGACTACAGACTGTAGCCATGAAGTGCTTTGAAAGGCTGGTCATGGCTCGCATCAACACCATTATCCCAGAAACCCTAGACCCACTCCAATTTGCATACCGCCCCAACAGATCCACAGATCATGCAATCTCTATTACAATCCACACTGCCCTTTCCCACCTGGACAAAAGGAACACCTACGTGAGAATGCTATTCATTGACTACAGCTCAGCGTTCAACACCATTGTTCCCTCAAAGCTCATCACTAAGCTAAGGACCCTGGGACTAAACACCTCCCTCTGCAACTGGATCCTGGACTTCCTGATGGGACGTGGTAAGGGTAGGTAACAACACATCTGCCACACTGATCCTCAACACGGGGGCCCTTCAGGGGTGCGTGCTCAGTCCACTCCTGTACTCCCTGTTCACCCATGACTGCATGGCCAGGCACAACTCCAATACCATCATTAAGTTTGCCGACGACACAACAGTGGTAGGCCTGATCACCGACAACGATGAGACAGCCTATACGGAGGTGGTCAGAGACCTGGCAGTGTGGTGCCAGGATAACAACCTCTCCCTCAACGTGATCAAGACAAAGGAGATGATTGTGGACTACAGGAAAAGGAGGACCGAGCATGCCCCCATTCTCATCGACGGGGCTGTAGTGGAGCAGGTTGATTGCTTCAAGTTCCTTGGTGTCCACATCACCAACAAACTATCATGGTCCAAACACACCAAGACAGTAGTGAAGAGGGCACGACAAAGCCTATTCCCCCTCAGGAGACTGAAAAGATTTGGCATGGGTCCTCAGATCCTCAAAAAGTTATACAGCTGCACCATCGAGAGCATCCTGACTGGTTGCATCACTGCCTGGTATGGCAACTGCTCGGCCTCCGACCGCAAGGCACTACAGAGTGTAGTGCGTACAGCCCAGTACATCACTGGGGCCAAGCTTCCTGCCATGCAGGACTAGGTCCAAAAGGCTTCTTAACAGCTTCTACCCCCAAGCCATAAGACTCCTGAACAGCTAATCAAATGGCTATCCGGACTATTTGCATTGTACCCCCCCACCCCTCTTTTACGCTGCTGCCACTCTGTTTATTATCTATGCATAGTCACTTTAACTCTAGCTAAATGTACATATTACCTCAATTACCTGGACTAACCTGTACCCTGCCCATTGACTCTGTACCGGTACCCCCTGTATACAGCCTCGCTACTGTTATTTTACTGCTGCTCTTTAATCATTTGTTATTTCTTCTTATTTGTTATTTTTTACTTATCTATTCTTTACTTAACACTTATTTTTCTTAAAACTGCATTGTTGGTTAAGGGCTTGTAAGTAAGCATTTCACTGTAAGGTCTACACCTGTTGTATTCGGCGCATGTGACAAATACAATTTGATTTGATTTGATTTAGTAGAATCAGGTTGTATGACAGTGCCTGTCCTCTTCCTTATATAGATAACACTTGAAAAAGGCAAACGCAATCTACTATCATTCTCCTCCTCCTGTGATCTCACCTGCACCAGCTTGTCGATGCCCAGGGCTCGGTCCAGCTCTGCCAGCTCGCTCTCGTCCGTCCCACTCAGGAAGGACACCAGCTGGTCCAGGAGGGCCTTCTCATCGTTACGACCCTCTGGGGTGGTGGGGGGGCACAGCAGCTCATCCAGTGGACACGGGACACACTGCCTGCGGCACACAGAGGGGGAAAGGGGGGAGAGTCAGGAACATGGGAGTGTGTGCATTCAATGTAAGGATGTGCAAGGTTTGGTTCTGTGTGCGTGTGAATTGGAATGTGAGCAATGAGGAATGTATGCGTCTGTGTGTCTACATATAAGTACTATACTCACTCCTGAGGGGAGGCCAGAGAGGCTTGCACAGGGTTTCCCATGCCTCCATCAAAGGACAGAGAGTCAGTCAGGGCCAGGGGCTGGAACTGCTGAGAGTCCGTCTCCATCTTAGACAACCCTGAAGGACAGCACAACACACAACTCTTAATGAACCCCCATGAAACAAACAACTAACCCATAGATTCCATATTATTATTATGTAATAATTATGTAATTTCCTATTATTTTAGGAAATGCCCTATAGATATTTGATAGAGGATTGTTTGATATGAGCGTATTCTAGTTCATACCGGTGTTGGAGTTGAATGAGTTCATGAGTCCAGGCTCTGTGAAGGGGCTGCTGCTGTCTTTGGGTGTCTGGAAGGACTCCCTTTGTCCCTGTCCCTGGCTGGGGGTGGTGGGGCTGCAGAAATCAAAGTGTGACTGGTTCTGCAGGCTGGAGGAACCATCAGTAAGCCCTGCACAGACACAAACAGACACATGGTCAGGATCAGTCCTTTCCTGGGTGGCCACGCGGAAAATGAAGATAGGCAGCATACAGTGGGGTGACCCTCTATGGTGACCCTTCACCCTTGACCCCCCTAATCCCTGCTGTACCTTGGCTTGGTGTTCCGGGAGGCTCCCTCTTCACGCTCACGGCTCTGGGAACGTTGGCCTCGCTGGGCTGGAATAGGGTAGGGGATTGAAGCTGGTTCTGGGGTTGGAGATGGGTAGGGGACTGGAGAGGGGACTGAAGATGGTTCTGAGGCTGGACCTGAGTAGGGGACTGAAGTTGGGGTTGAGGTTGGGAGGGGGACTGAAGCCGAGGCTGTGGAGGTGACTGGAGCCGAGGTTGAGGTTGGGTCTGGTGGCTATGGGACGACAGGGCCAGGGGGCCACCCTTCTCCTCGCTGCCCTGCTTGGCCCCAGCGGGGCCCCTGAGGGTGGGCAGCAGCTGGCTGAGAGGGTCCAGGTCAGCAGGTCCACTGGGAAACTAAGAGAGAGAGGGAGCGGGGCAAAGAATGAAAGGAAGGGACGGAGAGGGGGGGAAAGACAGGGAGAGAAAGCAAAGGTCAAAGAACTTCAATTGCTGCTGCTGGAAGCTCTGTGCTGGGGAGAGTCAAAGTCCAAGAGGGGCCACAAATGAACACAACTAGCTCCTGATTTAAGAGGGCAGTGAGGGAGTGTTACTATGCACGAGTGGTGGAAAAAGTACCAAATTGTCATACTTGAGTAAAAGTAAAGATACCTTAATAGAAAATGACTCAAATAAAAGTGAAAGTCACCCAGTAAAACCCTACTTGAGTAAAAGTCTAAAAGTATTTGGTTTTAAATATACTTAAGTATCAAAAGTAGATGGAATTGATAAATTATACTTAAAGTATCAAAAGTACAAGTATAAATCATTTAAAATTCCTTATATTAAGCAGACCAGACGGCACCATTTTCTTGTTTTGTTTAATTTACAGCTAGCCGAGGGGCATGCTCCAACACTCAGACATCATTTACAAACGAAGCATGTGTTTAGTGAGTCCGCCAGATCAGAGGCAGTAGGGATGACAAGGATGTTCTCTTGATAAGTGTATGAATTAGACCATTTTCCTGTCCTGCTAAGCATTCAAAATGTAATGAGTACTTTTGGGTGTCAGGGAAAACGTAGTGAAGTAAAAGTAAAAGTTGTCAAAACTATAAATAGTAAAGTAAAGTACAGATACCCAAAAAAACTATTTAAGTAGTACTTTCAAGTATTTTTACTTAAGTACTTCACACCACTGCTATGCGCTCAACGTAAATAGAACAAATACAGCAGCGAATCACATGCTCCCTTTAGAAGGGAGCAGCAGCATGCACTCAGGCAGCCAGCCAGCAAGGCACTCTCACGTTCCTGGCACTGTGACGACCACAACAACAGGGATATCCAGAGCTACATTTTCCTGGAAGTCCCTAATTCTAACCCCTGGCCCCAACCCTAAAACCTAACCCTATTCCTAACCTTAACCCCAAACTTAAACTGTCTGAGAGTTCTGCACGTCTGGGACCTTGCCGACTATGGATACTACTGGCACTGTGTATGAGGAGGAGGAGTAGGGTTGCAGACAGTACCGGGTCTCTGGACAGCCTGCTGTCTGCAGGGCTGGGTTTGGTCTTGGGGCTGGCACAGGCTGCAGCACAGGGCGTGGTATCCCCGCTAGCCCTCTTCTCAGTCTTGACCCGGACCGTCTGCAGGCTGAGAGCGGCCGGAGGGGGCAGGTCTCTCAGGTCCTTCTCATCCGTGTCCAGGAGGAAGCGCAGCAGCTGGTGGTCCTGGGGGGTGATGGGGGGTCCGTTGGGGTTGGCGGTGGCAGGGCTGGCAGGAGGCTCCTTCTTGATCTCAGACTCCTTGCCATTGCCGCCCTCGGCTGGGCTGCTGTCCTGCAGGAGGCGGTGAAGGATCTTGTGGCGCTCCGTCAGCGTGCTGTGGGAGGCCGGGCACTGAGGGGTGGAGGTGGGTGTGTTGGGGTGGGGAGCAGTGTTGTTGGGGTCCCCAGGCGGCCCCACTCTGCTATTGTCCAGGAGCTGGTTGAGTTTGGGGTTACCCCCCAGGTACTCTCCTCCCCCACTTCCTCCTCTTCCCTCAGGGGGCTTGGCAGGGGGAGGGCGCGTTGGGGAGTTGGTGGGGGTGCTGGCCTTCCTCTGAGGTAGAGGGGAAGGCAGGGAGAAACCTAAGGGGGTCCCTGCTCCACCGTCCCCACCAGAGTGCTGCCTGCTGAGGATTCCACCGCCCCCGCCACCACCACCTCCTAGGGCCCCTGCCGGAGTGTTCAGGCCAGGGGTGGAAGGGGAGAAGGGGTTCCCTGGGACGCGCGGGCTGCCGCCCAGCCCCGGACTGCCCCTGGGGGGCTTGGGCGACATGAATGAGGTAGGGATGGCTGTGAGGGGGCTGCCCAGGGGTGAGGGGCTGTTGACCTGCTGAGGACACAACCGGTTGGGCGTCAGGTACCCTGCTGACTGGTTGGTGGGTGTGGTGGGGGCGGTGGTGCCGGAGCTGTTTCCATTGTTGAGATGGAGGCTCGAGGTGGGGCCTGGGGCTTGGCTGGCCTCGATGCCCGGGGTGAGGGCAGGGGAGCGGGAGGGCTGGGAGGAAGCAGGGCTCCCATGGGTCAGTAGAAGGCTGGAGTTAGTGTTTTCCTGAGAGCTAGCAGTGTTGTGTTCCCTACAAGAGAAGGAAGACAAGAGCACAACATCAGCTGGGTTAGAGAAATATTCTGGAAAAAGTATTGTTTGTTTACGTCATTGGCACAAAAACACATTCCTATCAATTCCTACCCTTGAAAACGTTGATTGGCAATAAAGTCATACATTCTACTTGTTCCACATGACTTGCCAGTGTGTGTGTTCATGCGTGCGTGCACGGTTGGGTGTGTTACCTGTCAATAGTGTGAATGCCCATGATGAAGGGCTGAACGTCGGATTTGGGGGGGCAGCAGAACTTGCAGCGGGTCTGAGCACTGAGGGGGGTCCCATCGCTCAGGTTGAACTGGTAAAGAGGACTGATAGCCGTGCCATGGGTCATCACTGTCAACACACACATGCACAAACAAGAATTGGCCTACTTATCATTGTGGCACACATTTAAGGAGAAAAAATATATATGTCTTTGCAATGGTACCACACTGTACTTTGTTGTTACAGTTTCATTATTGAGAAAAGTGCAGAAAGTTTATCTTTCCCCTCTCCTTTCCACTCCCCCCTACTCTTCCTACGACCCCCTACGATGACGACCGGCCCCCCCCACTCTTCGACCCACCCCCTACCGCCACCCCCCTACTCATCACTCCCCCCCTACTCTAACCCCCTACTCTTCTTACCCCACTAACCGTAACCCCCTACTCTTCTGACCCCCCACCCCCTACTCTTCTGACCCCCCTACTCTTCTGACCCCTACTCTTCTACTCTCCTCTCCCCCTACTCTTCCTCTCCCCCCTACTCTTCCTTCCCCCCCTACTCTTCCTCATCCTCCCATTCTCCCCCCCCCTCACTCCCTTCTCCCACCCTCGTGGAGCAGCTTCTTGGCGTGGGAGGGTTCTTTGCCCTGCGGCTGGAAGAATGCGTAGATGCACTTCCTGACCAGGTCCTCCCAGCCTGGTCGCCCCGTCGCCCGCAGAGCACTCGTCTCTATGGAGATGATTTTCCCTGGAGATACACAGACGCACAGAAACAAACAAACACATCAGTATCCAGAGATACTGAGGCTCGGTGATAAAACCCAGATGGGGGTACATTATTAGGTCAGAGTTAGAGTTCCACAATGATACAAAATACCATTTAAATGGAGTTTTGAGACACTCAGATGTAAATGGCAGTAGTAGTGAGAGCTGAAACCCTGTCCTTGCCTTTCCTCTTTAGGTATCTTTACCAACAAGCCTGTTTATTGTGCAACACTCTAGTTAGTCCATCTTCTGGCACAAAAAGAAAGCTCTCTAATCCACACATTGGAGTGTGTGTGTGTATGGAGTGTCTGTGTGCCAACAGCAGTTGAGAGGTAAAAGGTGAGAGGTCAGGGGTTAATACCTGTGGGGTCCTGTTTGGTGATGAAGGACTCAGTGCTGATAGCGGGGAGCTGCTGGGGTCGGGGCATCCGGCAGGCTATGCAGATCAGGCAGCTCTGCAGGTCTGGGCACAACACCAATCAAAGGTCAGGAGAGGTCAGAGTTAAGACTCTGACAGGTGTGTGTGTGTTGTGTGACTGTGAGTGTGTGTTTGCTGTAATACGCAGGGCGTCACCGTGTCTAACTCTATCCCTCCAATATGGCTCAGGGCTAGCTAGGAGGACAAGGTAAAGACCAGCATTCTCATGTTGATGCTGCACCTTCTTCAATGTGTATGGCAAGTGTGTGTATGTAAACGTCTGTGTGCATAAGTGGCATGTATCTGTGTATGTAGGCTGTGTGTGTGTGTATGTATACATATGTGTATATGTGTGTGTGTGTGTGTGTGTGTGTACTCACCATCTCCCTCATCTTGCATGGCTTTGGGCTGGGAGACAGTGAAACACTGCATGATGTCGTACTGCTGGCGTGCCTCCTGGTTCTCTGAGTCCACCTCGTCAGGAGGCCTCTTCAGCATCCGGCAGTTAAACGTGTGACTGTTCCTCCGGCCCTGCTCCTGGGGCCAAGGCACCCCATTGACTGTACACACACACACACACACACACACACACACACACACACCCACCCACCAGTAATGGTATAGACACACACACAAATCATTAGGAACGGGGACACACACCATCACACATAAGACAGGTAAACCAATGTGTGTGTGATGTAATAATAATGGCTTGAAAAGAGACAGGGATGATATATATGGGGTAGAGAGAGATACAAAATATATACAATACAGACAAAGAGAGGAGGGGGGAGAGAAAAAGCGAGACAGAGAACAGTAGTGAGTGACCACGTTTACATGTGCACAGTATTCCAGATAGGAGCTCATCTCCTGCTTAAGGTCTTATTGGGGATAAGCGGTTTACACGCACCTTTGATATCACACTCATGAGTATCCCTCTATCCATGAATAAACAGAATATTCCTCATTTAAATTCCTATGGGTTAAATGGAATAGTCACTGAAATATGGACACTGACTGTAGGCCTATAACCTCTCTCATGTAGCTGCGTAGTAATATTAACTCCTGCAGAATTATGCATTTCTTGCAGTGAAATTATACAATATATAATTTTGTCTCAGGAACAGGAGTGGAGAAATATGATTTCGTTTTTTCAGCATCTCTTGAGAAAATGCGAATGTGCGTGTAATGTGTTATCTTTGACACTGTTATGCAAGCAGACAGTATTTTAACCACATAAAATATGCAACCAAGAACAACTGAAGTCTTATCAGAAACGTGTTTCGTCGTTTTCTCAGCTTTTCATTTCCTTAAAACTGGTCAAACTGATGACATTTGCACAGGACCAATCTTTCCACTGTTTTGGAGTTATTGCGTTTTCTTCCCGGTCCCTAAACAAAACAGACAACTTTACTGGTGTTAACTAGATTACTAATGCATTCATCTATCAATGTAAGACATTATTCTGGTGAGCACTACTTTATTTAGTATTCTGGGGCAACAAGTTATGACAGAAGAGAAGCTGCATGTATCTAACTATAGTTGACAAATAAATGGCCTACCAAATGTCGGAAAGTATAAGCAGAAACTAAATGAATTATAGTAGGCTAAATTATTATGGAATTATTATGGTGGATTGAACTTTTTTATTTGTTTGACAATCAGATGAAAACACCATCACACAACACCCATGATATGCAAAACTCAGCCTGCGCAGACCACAAAAACAACAGTAAACAGGATACGTTTTTACATGCCACAGTATCCCGTCTTAGATCAGCACATCCCAGGCATCTTATCCGGGTTTCTCATAACTGGGGTATTGTAAACCGGATATGATGTTTATATGCGACAGGTAGCTTAGTGGTTAAGAGCGTTGTGCCAGTAACCGAAAGGTCGCTGGTTCTAATCCCCGAGCCGACTAGGTGAAAAATCTGTCAATGTGCCCTTGAGCAAGGCACTTAACCCTAATTGCTCCTGTAAGTCGCTCTGGATAAGAGCGTCTGCTAAAATGACTAAAAATAAAAAATAAAAACTCAAAAACAGAATACTTAAGTATCCCGAATAATAACGGGATATTGGTGTGCATGTAAACGTGGTCACTATGTAGTGACAGTTTAAGCTGAAGACAGGCAGGTAGATAGTAGCTAGTTGACCTGTCTATCTCTGCTGACCTTAACCCATCCTGTCTGGCCTGGCCTATATAGAGAGGAATTACTAGGGGCTTCATGGGACACAGACCCTTATGTCTCCTGGTTACTATGCTCTTATAGCTGTCACATGATCTGGCTGCCTCATACTGCATGATACTGTCCCTACAGCAGAGATTCCTCTCTTACCTCCTCTCCATCCTCTTCGGCTTTCTCTCTTACCCGTCTTTCCTCATCTCCCCTCTATCATGTTCTTCTTCATCTCTTTTCCTTCCTCATCTCCTTTCTCTTGTCCTTGTCCTTCCTCTTCTCTTCCTTTCTCCTTCTCCTCTGTCTGATCCCTCCCCCCTCTCTCTTGCCCTCCTCTCCTTCCTTCCTCCTCTCTCGTCTCATCCCCTCATCCTCTCCTGTCATCCTCACCGAGACTCTTGGGCAGCAAGTTGCGGATGAACTCATTGTGGTCTCCCACGTGGAGGATGCTATACACGCTGGAGGTCATCAGCTCTTCCTGGGCGTAACCTAGGTAACCCGTCACATTCTCTGACACAAACACGATCCGGCCTTCGCGGTTCACCACAAAGAAGAAGCCGTCCAGGGCCTGGCCCGAAACAGAGGGAGGGACAAAAGAGGGGTGAAACGGACACCTCCGGAGGAAGGGGGAATCACAAAGAGAGCAGGGGGACTTCAGCCTTTCTCTACCACTCTCACAGCCCCAGCCTCAGCCAGGGGGAAAGTGTGCCAGGAACTAACGTGGAAAGCATAATGACACTGGGCCTCACTGGGAAACTAAGTCCTGGGAACCATACAGAGTCACTGAATCACTCTGGACAATACAGAGAAAATACTGAAGACAGAGAGATTATAACTAAATTGCAGTTGTAAATCTACTGTGAGCAGATGCACTCTAATTACTATCCATTCATTTACTAATGAGCAACCAAAAATATGATTTTTTTTCATGAAAGAGTACCTGTGCTTAGAAAGCAGCATGACTAAATGATCCAATCAATGCGTAAGTGGGTACTTCCTGTGTCTGTCACTGAAATAAAAATTCCACCAAGCTTTATTGTTTCACTCACCTCGAGCAGCAGCGGCCCCAGAGCCTCTTTCTCCACCATGCCCTGACTACTGGACAAAATGTCACTCCTCTGCACCTTGTCCTCCGGTGATATTAGAGCCGCTTTCTCTGCAGAGGACAAACAAACACAGAGATCTTAAGAAAAGTTCCCACAAAGGGGGACTGAATGTGGGACGATCAGCCATTGCTAGTATGCACTTTTATTCTTCTTTATTTTACTGACATGAAACATTACACAGGCATTATGCAATTACTTAGCAATTCCAATAAATAACTCTTAAGTAGCTTGTTACATAAGTTATTCCCCTCATAATGACTCTGGTATTATTTAATAGAGAATAATGAACAGTGTGGACTTCTGCTGAACTGCGTTCTGACGCCATCAGCCCCGATCAAAGAGTTAGGGGGACTCGACACAGCATACTGTAAATATACTGTACTGTTACTGTACCGCAGCAAAAGCCAACAACTGGAAGTTAGAGGGAAACAGCCTGTTTATTCTTGCATGGACACAAACGGATACTGCTTGGAGGAGGACTTATAATTAAACCATGTACTGTAGATGAATATACCCAATGTCAAAAACTCTTAAAAAGCCATTCAACAATGACCCAAATCTCTTCTTAGACCTGGTGTATTGATCTTACAGTTTCAGTCAAGGTTTGGTGAAAGAAGGCCAAAGAGAGTGCTGAGGAGATCGGGACCGGCTGAGGAGATCGGGACCGGCTGAGGAGATCGGGACCGGCTGAGGAGATAGGGACCGGACCATCCATCACGTCATTACTATACTGTAGGCCTGACTCCTCCTCTCCTCACTGGGCCCATTGCCAACAACAGCAGACTTGGCCCGGTCTTTGACCCCTGAACCTGTCACAAAGGAGGTCACGGCTGGAGGGATGTCAGCACACAGAACTCACTATACTGACCTGTCCCCACCAAGTAAGCAAACAACCAAGAGCTGGAAGAGAGGCCGGGGAAGAGATGAGAGGAGAGAGAGATACTATAAAGAGAGGAAGGAGAAGGAGAGGAAGAGGAAAAGAGAAACAGAGGTACTTTCCCTTTATCCCCGACCGGTCTCTCCTCTCCAGGGAGAAAAAAAACTGAGGAGTGTATATTTACCGAGCGCAGTCTGGCCAGTGGCCAGGTCTTAAAATAAGGGTGGCGAGTGAGCACATCACCGTGAATCACATGTGGTATTCCAGGAGGCCAAGAAATGAAACCAAAAACAAAACACAACAAAGTCCCGCCGTAATTAGGCTATTGACAAAACAACCAGGGCTGGGTGAGGACTTTACAGCCTGAGACATAAATATCCTGCAGCGGGCCTGCCTGTTGCGACACTTGCTGCACTACTGTACCACTAGATAGCTACTGTACCACTGTTATAACCAGAGCAGGGTTTAACTTCACTAAATAATAAGATGTTCATCAACTGCACATCTTTAGCAACTGCACATCTTAAGTTTGCAAATGCATCTTTGAAATTTATATTTACAGGGCAATTCCATTTGTTTGGAATTGGTCTGGCTTACAGAGACGTGTGTATTTTTCTCCTGTTGAGGATGTGATTTTCTTCCCCAAAAGACGTAGTCAAGTAACACATACAGATGTAAGATCTTAATTTGATCACCCTGTTGAAGGATAACTTTCTTGCATTGCAGGATTTTTTTTTTACTTGTAGTGTATTTGAGGTTTAAAACGGGTAAGTAGCATAAACGTAACCACATGTCACATATAGATTTGCATGAGTATACACGTCAAAAGTCCCAATGCAAAGTTAATTTTTACATAAAACCGATCAGAATTCCGCAGAATGCCGGAAGTCATGTTGGAAAATGTTTTCCAGGGTGTGATGTAATATGTAGGACCTGGCAAGCCAGCCTATTCCTTATAATGTAAACTCCAACAGAAATAACTTCAAATGTATAACTTCAAATTAAACCAAATTGTTTGCACTCATGTCTACTGGTTTCAATTAAATTTTCAGCCAACTTACAAGCAAATACTTTATGAATGTATTGTTATAAATCAACTTGCAAGGTTGCTAGCCAACTAGCCCGCTAATGTTTGCCCTACCAGCCTGCTAACGTTACGTTAGCACAGCATGAGTCAAATAATGTTATAGATAAATATTAGCTACATGCAGTTATCTTAGCCAGCTAACGTTAGCTATTTAGCCAACTAGCTATTAGCCTAGCCAACCACCAAGCCAGAGCCCAACAACTGGAGACCAGCTAGAACACAACTAACAAAACACAACTAAAACATGACCGCAGAGCAAAAGCAAAGCGAGAGCAGAGAATTACAGATTGATGGCTGGGGGCCCATCCGATGAGTTCGCTACCAAAGCGAGGGGGAGGCGGGGGCTTCACCGGGCCAAGGGAGAGTCAGTGAGGGAAATACAATAGCTATAGCAAGAAAAATCCAGCGAGCACTAAGCGAAGGTGGACAAAGTTACAAAACTCCCGTAGCCTACTTCACAGAGAACATGCCAAAAAGTTGACTAAACAAAAAGGAGAACAGACAAGGTACTACACAATTAGAGCAAGCAGGCATGATTTTCTCTTTCGTTTTGAGCCCATGGCAAGAAGGCAACAGAGCCTGCCATGCTAACGGGTTGCCAGTAGATAACACAGCCACAAATTCTGTGCAGAGCATGAGGATGCTAACATTAGCAAGCTTGAGCTAGCTACCGAGCTAGCATATGAACTCGGTAGCACAGAGTAGATTCTCCATATGACGTTGAGTGCATTGTGGGTAGTTTAGAAAATATCTGGAAATAAATGTATAAATATATAATAACCCTAAAACATAACTATGTTTGTAGTTATAGGTATAGACCGTGACTACAACTAAGTTACTAAGTCTTTGACCACACTGTGTTGTTACTCTGGTGTGTAAAAACTCATGCTTCCTACCCTTTAAAAAGGCTTCTGTATCAACCCCTACAAAAATATCAATTTATTATAATCCACATATTAATTCACATTTCCTGATGCTGCAGGGTTATTTTCCTACTGTAGCAAACTGGCTCAAATTAAGATCCTACATCTGTATGGTGTCTTCGGAGAGGCCAGGGTCTGTCCTTGTCTATCTTAGGATCAGATAGGAGAGGGTTGAAAGTGGGAGTGGAGGGACAGAGAGGGGGCAAGAGGTGAAAAAGGGTAGAGTTGGAGAGAGAGAGAGAGAGAGAGAGAGAGAGAGAGAGAGAGAGAGAGAGGGGCACAGAGGAGGGGAGTGAAGGCCTAGGGAGAGGAGGAGAGGAGAGGAAGAGAGGAGGAGGGGCGAGCAGAGCAGTGTGTGTTCCTGTTTCTCCCTGTGTAGCAAGCGTAGGGGAAAGGGAAGCTGGGCTTTGCAAGAGGCCCTCTTGCACAAGGTCAAGTGGCAGGGAGCTCAGCCATTGGCTGCTTTCTCACACGCCCAACTCCCTCCCCTCCCCTGCCTGAGCTCGGGAAACAAAAACAGAAGAGAAGGCCTTCGTCCTGAGTGTTACATCGCAGAGGCCACTGGGCCCCTGACAACATCATGTCATGGCTATGCCAGCTCTAAGTAGGCTTTATGTCACCTGTGCCACACCCTCTACCCTAGCTAGGCTCTTTCCTTCATGCTGGGAGCAGAAACAAAACAGGGGATCTCGTTCAAGAACTCCTTGAGCCTTACATAGGAGAAGGAGGAAAACATACACACACACACTGCAAGCTTGCACACACACCCGGACCTTAATATTTCCCCTCATTTCACTGAGGGTGAAAGAGGAAAAATGGCACCTTCTGCACTGCTTCTGGACAGCCACCACTGCGTGTGCTAATTCTGGTGTAGGCAAGCGAGCGCCACCATTTACTCTTACACTTCTACTCCACTTCGTCTCTCTGCCTGCCTGCTCAAGGCCAACACCAGCCCTCTCGCCGTTGGGCCTCCGGTACTACCCTATCCCAGACAGGAAATCAGGGCTGGAAGGAATATTCTAATTTACACCCAAATTCTGAGTCACCAAGCCTGTTTGTGATGATTGGAATCAGGGCCAGGAATAAGCAGATGTTTGAGTGACTAGGCCTGTTAGGTAGCCATCTTAAAGGAAAAATCCACCCAAAAACTCACACGTTACGTTTTTCATCATCATGATGATGTGGAAGTGACACTTTGCTTGTTGAAAGTCCAATATCTTTATAAAAAACTTGACTGCTGCCAAGCAAAACATTGTGGGACTGTATCAACAGTGGACTAAAGAACAATGGCGTTTTCCTTTAAGGGCTGTGGTGTGTAGAGTATACAATCACCTCCAAAATTATTGGCACCCTTGCAAAAGATGAGCTATATTGCATGCTCAATTTTAGACTAATACAATTGCTCAGAGAAAGAGATTTTGTTTAACAAGTAATACTTTTTTTCTATTGGTACCCCTATTTTCAATAGTTTGTGCACCCTCCCCTTGCAAGGATAACGACACTGAGCCTTTTTCTATAATGTTTTATGAAATTGGAGAACACATTAAGAAGGAAATAAATTCCACAAATTAACTTTTAAGAAGGCACACCAGTTAATTGAAACGCATTCCAGGTGACTACCTCATGAAGCTGGTTGAGAGAATGCCAAGAGTGTGCAAAGCTGTCATCAAGGCAAAGGGTGGCTATTTGAAGAATCTCAAATATAAAATATATTTTGATTTGTTTAACACTTTTTTGGTTACTACATGATTCCATATGTGTTATTTCATAGTGTTGATGTCTTCACTATTATTTTACAATGTAAAAAATAGTAAAAAATAAAGAAAAACCCTTGAATGAGTAGGTGTGTCCACACTTTTGACTGGTACTGTATATACAGTGGGGAGAACAAGTATTTGATACACTGCCGATTTTGCAGGTTTTCCTACTTACAAAGCATGTAGAGGTCTGTAATTTTTATCATAGGTACACTTCAACTGTGAGAGACGGAATCTAAAACAAAAATCCAGAAAATCACATTGTATGATTTTTAAGTAATTAATTTGCATTTTATTGCATGACATAAGTATTTGATACATCAGAAAAGCAGAACTTAATATTTGGTACAGAAACCTTTGTTTGCAATTACAGAGATCATTCGTTTCCTGTAGGTCTTGACCAGGT